CAGGCAAAAGAGCCTCTGTTCTGCTGTCTCTCTGAAGGCAGCAGGGTTTCACTCGAGTGAGAATGAGCAATAATCCCAGCATTGCCTTCCTCAGCAAGGTTCTTCCATGGAACAGAAATAGCACAAAATTACAGAACTTGTGGTTTAGACTAGAGGCCCTCTAGGGTAGCATGGCACATTGGAAAGCTTCTTGAATTTGGAGTCTAGAGACCTGGGTTCAAATCCCAGATCTGCCACTTATACTTAGGACAAATTACTTCATTTCCCTGGCCTTCAGTTTCTTCATCTGTAAAATGAAGATAATGACAGCACCTACGTCCCAGAGTTGTTATAAAAATAGAACGAGGTGGTAGTTATATAGCAAAATTTGCACTTTGCAAACCTCAATGTTTTGTGTAAATGCTTTTCTAATTTTATAATGTAATAATTTTTTGTAATTTTATAGCTTTATAAATGATTTTGTTTTGTATAAATTTACTTATAAAATGAAGTGATAAGAATAGATGCTCTCTGTGTTCCTTCCAACTCTGTACGTGCATATTATGTATGTGTACAGGGGATGTCTTTTCCTACTCAGAAATTTTATCATCACTATAGTAACAGATTCTCCCTCCCCCTTAATTGAATGTTTCTTAATTTTTGTGTGGTTTTCACATTGTCAATTGCAGAGTCAATTTGAGGGTGTATTTCATGCTGCCCTCTTCAGGCACCAAAATTGCTAGTTATGTTCTCCCTATTTACTGCAAAAATATATTCCCACAGTAGTTCTCAGGGGACTTGTTTACTCTTAGTCTGTCCACTTATCCCTCTCCAAGTACTTTCTACAAAGTGCTCTTCAGTGGTGAATTGAGCACATTTTTCTCTCCAGTGGCCTGACCCACGCCAAGGGCAATGGGAGAATGACCTCATCCTTCCTCCATTCTCTGCTCTTTGCAGAATATCACAGACACAAGCTGTGTCTTTTTTCCTCCTCCACTGCAGCTTTCTATTGATGGCTTGTTTTTAGCACTGTTATTCACTCTGATTTCTGGATCGTTTCTGGCTGGATATGCCTACAATCATTACTTCTGCTCTGCTATTTGGGCTCTTTGCTTTGCATTTCAGATGGTCTGCCCTGCGTGTTCTAACTGAATTACATTCCAAGTGTCTTTGTATCTACCTCTACAATTTACCAAGGTCACCTTTAATCCTGTCCTATACTCCTAGGTTCCCACAGTAATTCTGTAATTTTATTCTCCATTTACCCTGGCACAGGACTGATTCACCCAAAGTAGGTCAGACAGATCTGAATACAAAGTGTCCAGAAGTGACGCGACAGCTGCTACTATCCCTCATCCCTTCTCCCTACTAGCCCTCCTAGCCACAGTCCCTTTAGAGATCTGCAATTCCATCTCTTTGAGTATTTCTTTCACCAATAAAACCCACAACCCCTGGGGAGGCACTTAGTAGGTGGTCTTTAAAAGTTGTAGTGGTTGAAAAATTCAAGATCCTGTGACTAACATGTCAATGAGCTCAGCTAGTGCTTGAATAATATACATATATATGATCCATCACTGGGTCTAGACTTGATGACTGCCCGGCTTTGAAGAGAACTACCAGAGAATCATTTTCCCCCAGCATAGCCTTCAAGAACCCGGGACTATCTCCAATGTTTAATTGCACATAAAACGAAGCCTTTATGGAGGAATTCCACCTTGACTCCTTCCCCAACTTTCATCTTTAAAAAAATGGAGAAAGGATAGATTACCTCATATGTCACCAGGCAAGTCATTGCAGGCAGCTAAGTGGTAGAGTGGACAGAGCACTGGGGCTAGAGTCAGGAAAACCCAAGTTCAAATACTTCCTGTCACCCTGGGCAAGTTACTTAACCTATCTGCCTCAATTTCCTCATCTGTAAAACCAGGCAATAAATATTTATTAAGCACCTATTATGTGCCAAGTACTGTGCTAAGTTCTGGGGATATAAATTGGAAAAAGAAACACAGTTCATGTCTTCAGGGAAGGTTCCCTTGCAGGGTCATGATGGGAAAGACCAAAGGAATGCAGCTGAGTGGGGAATGAAGAGATAGAGGCCTGAGCACCCTCCTTAAATGGAGGTTTGGGGAAGTGTTCTCTGTGCCTTCCCATTACAGGGGCTGATAAGTTGTGGGTACCAAGGCTGACTGGATCTTGCACGATGATGAGGTTTCCAAAGCATCGTGGGAAAGTTCAAAGTAGTATAGTTAGGTGAGAAATGGGAATGATAACAACACCTCCCTCTTAGAGTTACTGTGAGTCAAATGATATAACATGTAAAGCGCTTTGGAAAACTTAAAGTACTATATACATATATCTATACAAAAATGTGTGTATTATGTATGTATAATTCATCTTTCTCTGTTTTCTTGATGGAAGTATTTAGAGATACAAATTTTCCCCTGAGAACTGCTTTGGCTATGACCCTAAAATTCTGGTATGTTGTCTCCTTGTTGTCATTAACTTTATTGAAATGATCTATGATAATGATTTGTTCTTTAGCCCACCAATTCCTTAGGATTCAGTTATTTAGTCTCCAATTAAGTTTTAATCCCTCCTTTTGCAGCCCTTTATTGAATGTATTTTTTTTTTTTGCATTGTGATTGGTAAATGATGTGTTTAGTAGATAGGTAGGAATGGAATTGGGCAAGTAGGTGGTATGGTGGATAGAGTGCTGGGCTTGAAGTTGGGAAGACTCATCTTCCTGAGTTCAAATCTAGCCTCAGACATTTACTATCTGTGTGACTCTGGGCAAGTCACTTATCTCTGTTTGCCTCAATTTCCTCATCTATAAAATAATCTGGAGAAGGAAATGGCAAACCACTCCATTATCTTTGCCAAAAAAATCTCAAATGGAATCACAAAGACTCCAGTATGACTGAAAATGACTGAACAACATAAAGGAATGGAATAGATGTAAGGGGTGGAGAGAGGACATGTCAGGAATGTCCTGGTGAACAATGAGAATAAAGACATGGAAAGGAGAGAATTAGAATGTGTTCAAGGGTTATCAGACTTTGCAGTTTGGCTCAAGTGTGGAGGCTGGGGAGGGTTAACAGCAGGAGATATCTGGAAATTAGGGTGGTGCCAGGATTTCAGCTTGGAAAGCACCAGTATATCAAATGTCTGAGCTTGAAAAGAACTTTGTCACCATCTATCCAAGTCCACCCTCCTAATCTGCAGATGAACATACTGAATCCAATGAGGTGGCTGGTCCAAGGTTCCCCAACAAAAATACCAATGAAATGTTCTTTCTACTTCATCAGTAGGCCAAGAACACGTACCGATGGAACGAGGAGCCAAGCTGGTGAGCTTTGATGGGTAGTGGGGCTGTACAAGGGGGTAGAGAAGGCAATTTTAAGAGCATGTGGTGCCAAGTAGAGAATGCACACCAAGCTGTCCAGGACACCTTTCTTCCCTGTTCATAACTCGGATGCTACGTCAGAACCTGAATTCAATCCTGCCGAGCAAAAGGAGAGCCTGCCAGCTCCCAGGGGCAGTCAGCAGGCGGAGAGACATTGGTACCCCTCCCTACACAGGGAGTCTCCCTATGCATCTGGATTCCTGCCTGCCCTCTGGGAGAATTGGCTAGCACAGTTCCTTTCAACTGCCTCTGCCCTTTCATGGCTTCTTACCAAAGTAGAAACTCTCATTTCCTGAAGGAATATACTACCAAACACCTCCCTTAGCAGAAATCCCTGTAGTCCCTACTGCCTCTTTCTAAGCCCCAATAGGACAATCCCTTTCCCTCTTCTCAGACCAGAGCTCAGATGAGAAGCCTGGTTTTCAAGGACAGGCCTGAAGAAAACCAAAAAGGCTTCTTTATAATTACTGACATTTATATAAGGCTGTAAAGTTTGCAAAGTATGTACTTTGCATACATTTTCATTTGAGCTTCACAACAACCCTATGACATAGGCTCTTTGGGGATTATTATACCTGGTGTTTTTTGACCTGGAATTTTTATTCCATTGATAGGGAGCTCCCTCCATGGAAGCAGGTCACTCTTCTAAGATGGGTCATCTTAGAGAATTGCCCGGGACGATTCAGCCTGTAGGTGTCAAAGGAAGGATTTGAACTCAGGTCCTCTTGACTCCAGGGCTAGTCCTTTATCTACTACGCCATGGTGCCTCTCCAGTTTTCCAGATGAGGAATTGAGGCTCAGAAAGATTGATTGTCTCGTTCCTGGTATGTGTCAAAGGCAGATCTTCCTAACCCCAAAGTCACCTTATATCAATGTGAATATCACCACCACCACCACCACCACCACCACCACCAACAGCTACCATTTCCAATGTGCTTTAAGGTTCGTAAAACTCTTCTGATATGCTATCTCATTTGATCCTTACAACAACCCTGTGAGGTAGGTGCTACTTTTATGCCTATTTTACAGATGAAGAAACTGAGGCAAATAGAGGTTAAGTGACTTAGCCAGGGTTACACAGCTAGTCAGTGTCTAAGGAGGATTCAAACTCAGGTCTTCCTGACTCCGAGTCTAGCGCACTACTCACTTTATCACCTAGCTGTCTATTGCACAGTGCTTCTGTCATTTTACAGATGAGGAAACTGAGGCTCAGGGAGGTTAAGAGACTTGCCTATGGTCATATAGCTAGGACGTATAAGAGGCAGGATTCAAGCTCAGGTCCTCCACACTCCAACTCCAAGACTCTCTCTACTCTCAGTCCTATTATGAGTAAAGAATTGTGACAACTCTCATTTACATATTTCTTTATGGTTACAAAATACTCTCTATATGTTATTTCATTTGACTCTCATAAGTGAGGGAAGTAGTGCAAGTATTATTTTACACATCAGGAAAGCCAGCGGATAGGCGGTTTACTGAAGGTAAAGACTCCTAATAACGCCATTGAGCCTTGATCCGAGACTTTCGGCTCAGTCAGACCAGATTCCCTTATTCTCCTAGGCGTAGCTGTCTCCCCATTGATGGGAGGCAACAGAATAATAGACTTTCAATGTAATCACGGGGGCTCAATTCAGTAGTATGTGTACTAAAATAAAAATGATGCAGAGATTAGCATGGCTCCTGGGAAAAAATGACATGCCAAATCTTGAAGCATTCCATATTTTTCAGAATGAGATATATTTTCAGATATAGCCAATGTGGGGATTTGATTTGATTGCCAAGATTAGAAGGAAAGCAGAAAGCTGGGAGAAAATTGTATAGCAATTTTCTCTGATAAAGGTCTCATTTCTGAAATATGTAGAGAACTGAGTCAGATTTATAAGAATATAAATTCAGGCAGTTTTCAGATGAAGAAATCAAAGCTATCTCTAGTAATATGGAAAAAAATGCTCTAAATCACTATTGATTAGAGAAATGCAAATTAAAACAGCTCTGAGGTACCACTTCATACCTATCTGATTGGCTAACATGACAGAAAAGGAAAATGATAAATGTTGGAGGGGATGAGGGAAAATAGGTACATTAATGAACTGTTTGTTGGTGGATCTGTGAACTGGTCCAACCATTCCGGAGAGCGATGTGGAACTACATCCTAAACGCTACAAAACTGTGCTTACCCTTTGATCCAGAAATACCAATCCTAGTTCTATATCCCAAAGTGATCAGAAAGGGGGAAAGGACCTACTTGTACAAAAACATTTACAGTGGCTCTTTTTTAGTGGCAAGGAATTGGAAATGGAGGGGATGCCCATCAATTGGGGAATAGCGGAGCAAGTTGTGATATATGAATGTAATGGAATATTACTGTACTATAAGAAATGAAGGGAAGGTGGATTTCAGAAAGACCTGGAAAGACTTATATAAACTGATGCAAAGTGATGTGAGCAGAACCAGCAGAACGTTGTACACAGTAACACTAATATTACATGATGATCAACTGTGAATGACTTAGCTAATCTCAGCAATACAATTATCTAAGACAATTTCAAAGGACTTGTGGTAAAAAATGATATCCACATCCAGAGGAAGAGCTGATAGAATATGAATGCAGATTAAAGCATGTTATTTTTCACTTTCTATATTTTTGGTGGGTTTATCTTTTTTTTAATCTGTCTTTTTTTTTTTACAACATGACTAATATGGGAATATGTTTTGCACGATTACACATGTATAACCTCTATCAAATTGCTTACCATCTCAGAGAGTCGGGAGGAGAGGGAGGGAAGGAGGGAGAGAATTTGGAACCCAAAATTTTGAAAAATGAATGTTAAAAATTATTTTTACATATAATTGGGGAAAATATTATTTAAAAACAGCTAAATTTCATCAATTTATTTTTAATTTTAATTTAATTTTTGCATCAATATTCATTAGGGAAATTGATCTATAGTCTTTTCCCTCTGTTTTTGCTTTTCTTGGTTTAGGTATTAGCACCATATTTGTGTCCTAAAAGGAATTTGGTAGGACTCCTTTGCTTATTTTTCCAAATAGTTTATGTAGCATTGGAATTAATTGTTTTTTTTAATGATTGGTAGAATTCACCTGTGAATCTCTGGCCCTGGGGATTTTTTTCTTAGGGAGTTAATTGATGGCTTGTTTAACTTCTTCTTCTAAAATGGGGTTATAAATTGCTTAGATTAACAGAAGGAAAGTATTCTATTTTCTCTTCTGTTAATCTAAGCAATTTATATTTTTGTAAATCTTCATCCATTTTGCTTAAATTGTCAGATTTATTGGCATATAATTGAGCAAAATAACTCCTAATCATTGCTTTAATTTCCTCTTCATTGGTGGTGAATCCACCCTTTTCATTTTTGATACTGATAATTTGGTTTTTCCTTTTTTTAAAAATAAAATTAACCAATAGTTAGTTTTTCTATTTTATTGGGTTTTTTTTTTTCATAAAACTAGCTCCTAGTTTTATTCATTAGTTCAATGGTTTTCTTACTTTCAATTTTATTAATCTCTTCTTTGATTTTCAGGATTTCTAATTTGGTGTTTAATTGGGGATTTAAAATTTGTTCTTTTTCAATGCTCTAAATCACTATTGATTAGAGAAATGCAAATCAAAACAACTCTGAGGTACCACATCACACCTATCAGAATGGCCAACATGACAAAACAGGAAAATGATAAATGTTGGAGAAGATGTGGGAAAATTGGAACGCTAATGCATTGTTGGTGGAGTTGTGAAATGATCCAACCATTTTGGAGAGCAATTTGGAACTATGCCCAAAGGGATATAAAAATGTGCATATCCTTTGACCCAGCAATAGCACTTCTAGGGCTATATCCCAAAGAGATCACACAAATGGGAAAAGGACCTACATGTACAAAAATATTCATAGCAACTCTTTTTGTAGTGGCAAAGAATTGGAAATTGAAAGGACGCCCATCAATTTGGGAATGGTTGAGCAAGTTGCGGTAAATGAATGTGATGGAATACTATTGTACTATAAGAAATGATGAACAGGCTGACTTCAGAAAAACTTGGAAAGACTTGTATGGTCTGATGCTGAATGAAGTGAGCAGAACCAAGAGAATGTTGTACACAATAACAGCCATGTTGTGTAATGACTAATATTGATAAACTTAACCCTTCCTGGCAATACAAGATTCTAAGACATCTCCAGAGGCCTTGTGATGGAAAATGGTATCCACATCCAAAGATAGAACTATGGAAGCTGAATTGCTATTTTTTTTCTCTTCTGTTGAGTTTTGTTTCCTCTTTCTGATGGTTCCTCCTACTGGTTTTCATTTTTACTTACAACATCACTAATGTGAAAATATGTTTAATATGAATGTAAATGTATAGCCTATATCAGATTGTACACTGTCTTGGGGAGGGTGGTGGGGAGGAAGGGGGAGAAAAATTTTAAACTCAAAAGCATATGGAAGTGATTATTGATAAATCAAAATAAATTAATAAAAATTTTTTAAAAGTTGTTCTTTTTCTAGTTTTTTTAATTGCATATTCAATTCACTGATCTGCTCTTTCTCTGTTTTGTTGATGTAAGCATTCAAAGATATGAGTTTTTCCCTAAGTATTGCTTTGGCTGCATTCTATAAATTTTGGTATGTTGTCTCTTTGTCATTTCCTTTAATGAAATTATTGATTGTTTCTGTGATTTGTTCTTTGAGCTACTCATTCTTTAAGATTAGATTAGTTTCCAATGAATTTAAAATCTATTTTTCTTTGACTTTTTATTAAATGTAATTTTTATTGCATTATGATCTGAAAAGAATGCTTTTAAATTTCTTCCTTTCTGCATTTGATTGTGAGATTTTATGCCCTAATGCATGGTTAATTTTTGTGTAGATGCCATATACTGCTAAGAAAAATGTATATTCCTTTCTGTCCACTTCAATTTTTTCCAGAGATCTGTCAAGTCTAACTTTTAAAAAATTCTATTCATTTCCTTAACTTTTTTCTTGTTCATTTTTTGCTAAATTTATCTAGTTCTGAGAAAGGAAAGCTGAGGTCCTCCACTAGTATAGTTTTACTGTCTATTTCCTCCTATAACCCATTTAACTTCTCTTTTAAAATTTGGATGCTATACCATTTGGTACATGTATGCTTAGTATTGATATTACTTCATTGTCTAGGGTACATTTTGGCAAGATGTAGTTTCCTTCCTTATCTCTTTTAATTAGATATATTTTTGCTTTTGCTTTGTCTGAGATCATGATTGCTATACCTGATTTTTTTTTTTACTTCAGCTGAAGCATAATAGATTCTGAACCAGCTCCTTATCTTTACTCTATGTGTGTCTCTCTGCTTCAAATGTGTTTCTTGTAAACAAAACATTGTAGAATTCTGGTTTTTAATCTACTCTGTTTTCCACTTCTGTTTTATGGGTGAGTTCATCCCCACTCACATTCACAGTTATGATTACTATGTATTTCCCTTCATTCTATTTCCCCCATTTATCTCTCTCTCTCTCTCTCTCTCTCTCTCTCTCTCTCTCTCTCTCTCTCTCTCTCTCTCTCTCTCTCTCCCCACCCTGTCCCTTGTCACCAATGTTCTGTTTCTGACCACCACCTCTCACCATCTGCCCTGCCATCTGTCAGTCCCTGCACCTTCTCCTTTCCCCTCCCTTCCTACTTCTCCATAAGGTAGAGTTCTATACCCAATTGAATGTGTATGTTATTCCCTCTTTGAGCCAATTCCAGTGCGAATAAGGTTCAAATGATTTTCCAGATCAGTTGTTTTTCCAATGAGATATTTCATATTTTTTTCTATTTTTTTCATTCTTTTGATTTTATTTTATTGTTTCTTGATGTCTCATGGGGTCATTACCTTCCATTTGCCCAATTCTAATTTGTAAGGAATTATTTTCTTCAGAGAGTATTTGTATCTCCCTTTCCATTTGTCCAATTCTATTTTTAAGGAGTTGTTTTCTTCAGTGGATATTTGTAAATCTTTTCCCATTTTTTTGCTTCCTTTACCAAGCTGCTGACACTTTTTTTTTCATAATTCTTTTGTATCACTCTCATTACTTTTCTCAATTTTTATCCTACCTCTCTTATTTGACTTTCGAAATCCTTTTTGAGCTCTTCCAAGAGTTCTCTTTGAGTTTGAGACCAATCCATATTTTTCTTTGAGGCTTCACATGTAAGCATTTTGACATTGCTGTCCTCTTCTTAGTTTGCATTTTGATCTTCCCTGTTACCATAATAACTTTTTGTGGTCAGGTTTTTTTTTTTACTCATCTTCCAGCCTATTTTGTGACTTTTAAAGTTGGAATCTGCTCCTAAGATGGAGGGGACACTGTCTCAAGTTTCTTGTGCTGGGGCATAGGGCCTTGCTGCTGACCTCTGTAGGCATCAGGACCTCACCACTGGCTTGCTGGGGTATGGACTTCTGCTGGTTTGCCCAGACACCACCTGTTTAGGACTTTGCTTGCCTTAGTGAGACAAACCTCTCCTACCAATCTTTTGGGCTGGCAAATTGTTTGCTTTTGTTGGTTCTGCCTCTCTAGAATTCATTCTGAGGTGTTATTTTATAGTTGTTTAGAGGGGAATTTGGGAGAGTTCAGGTGATTTCCTGTTTTACTCTTCTATCTTGGTTTGGCCCCTTGATTTATCCAAGTCTTGAAGGAAGCTAGGGATTCTATGAGGTGGAGGAGAGAAGAGAATTAATTCTGGGCAAGAGATTTTGTACA